TCCGGTCCGATCCGGTCCGATCCTGGTTTTGTCGACGCCGTAAAACCGCTCGAGTACTTCATCCAACTGCTCAGGAAGAATCATCTCCAGGTTTCTCTCAAGGCTATTTTCGTCACACCACTTCTCAAAAACCCTCACGACGTTAATTGTGCTCTTTCGCGTATTTAAGTTTTCTGCCGCTTCTTTTAATTGCGTAACCTCTTCAATGGTCACCGTCTTAAATCTCGACGCNCATCTTGGCACTGATCGAGATACAAGAGATGTTGCCATAGCAATTTTGTAATTTCACATGTGAAATTATGAATTAACCCTGAAATTTCGCGCCAAAATTAAGGAGTAATTTGTCACCCATGATATTAGGAAAGTTGATTGTATAACCCCTGTCTGAAAAAGCTGCACTGTCCGTGTTACCGTATAGTTTATGAAATTCTTTTACTGGTCTACAACGCTCTCAATGGAGCAGCGCCTTGTTACATCAGTGACGTTGCGGGGCTACTTTTTCCAAATTTTCTTTTTTCCAACCAAATTAAGTTCATTATTACATTTTCCAAAAAGGTAGCATTTTCCAAAAAATGAAAATAAAATATTAGAACGCGCGCGAGTTATTGGGTAAAGAGGTTTTTTAAAAGTAAAGGTGTCATAATCCCTAAAAGGCATGGACTCCTCAGCGACCTTTTCGCGGCAGACAGCTTGATCAAGAGATCCTATATCAAGCGTGAATACGAGTGCCTTTTTGTAATCACGCTTTGGCGATTGCTCCTCAGTTTCTTATTGTTTTGTAGCACATCACTTTTCCCCATGTTGCCCTTTATTGTTGACCACCGGACTAAAACGTGTGAACCTAAAACGTGAATGTAACACTATCGCTTTACCGCAAAGCTCAACTTTCCATACTGTGAACGATAGGGGTTCTGTTATTTCATTGGCTGGCGGCATTTTGAGTCGACATATCCCTCTGAGAAGACGTGATATGTTTATAAATCTTTAGAAGGCGAAAACATGCACTCGCTTTGCGAGAGAATCCCTACGCTTTAAATGAATTAATTGGATATGTAGAATCGACGGTTTTCTGTCGGCAAATTCTCTTATTTTAAATACTTTTCTCGTGGTGGCCTCTAACGCAACATGTTGCGCGAATTTTTCGATCGTGGAACTCGACAGATCTATTTAAGCAATAGACCACTCTTTCTATGGGTTTACCGGCGTAATAAACCACTTGGGATGTTGGGAAAACACGAGAAAAGGTTGTAAATCAAGCTTAACAAGCTTTTCGAGTGTTCTCCCAACATCCCAAGTGGTTTATTGCGCCGGTAAACCCGTAGAAAGAGTGGTCTATCGCTTTTATGAAATAACTATAGAAAACGTCTGTCAATGAGAGAAAAATTTATTGTACATAGAAGAATCCTCGAGTAAATCCTCGAGTAAATCTATTTTAAGAGCTCACAGAACGCCTCCAATTAAACAGCAGTAGTTAGGGGAAATTTTCAAATCCATATTTGTGACCTACCGTTTAGGAAGTGTTGAAAAATAATCGTAATGCGTCGTAATTATAATTTGCGCATTAATTAACAATGGCTGCCCCTGTAGGAATTTTCTTCCTATTTCTGGTGTGCCATGAGCAAAACAGCTCGTTCAAGATCTCATTTTAAAGCTCACGATATGATCTGTAGTCGTAGTTACATAAGCTAAAGCTACATACACTGCGAAAAAACCGAATCCATAAAATAAGTGCAATGATTACTTCGAAATTCATTCTCACGTCGCTAACAAAAGGATATGTTAACAAGTCCTTCGCTTTAATCGCTTTAATTGCACTATTGTTCAAGTCTTTTGAAGTCACTTGAGCTTGAGGTTTCCTTCCAAAATATCTCACCTTTTTCAAACCGAATAAAAATCGAACTTATTTGAGACACTTTCGGATGCTATTGAAAGCAATGTCCAAGGAATAAACTGAGCCTTCAAGACACAAGGTCAAGCGGTTTAAGCCATTTAAGAAAGACACTAAAGCGGCATAAGGTGTTTGGGCTTTTAACCTTTAGAACGAAGAATATACATTGCATTTAGCGTGTGTTTGGGCTTTCTCGCTTTAGTAACGAAGAATTCACATTGTATTTAGCGTGTGTTTGGGCTTTCACACTCAAGGAACGAAGAACATGCATTGTATTTAGCGTGTGTGCGCTTTTACGCTTTAGAAATGAATAATTTACATTGTATTTAGCGTGCTCGGACTCTCACGCTCAAAGAGCGAAAAACATACCTTTCATTTCGCGCTTTTGGGCTCGCCGGCTTTGTATTTAGCGTGTGTTTGGGCTGTCAGGCTTTAAGAACGAAAAATATACACTGTGTTAAGCGCTTTTGGGCTCTCACGCTGTAAGAATGAAGTATATACATTGTATTTAGCATGTGTTTGGGCTGTTACGCTTTAAGAACGAAGAATATACATTGTATTTAGCGCTTTTGAGCTTGAACGTTTTATGCAGCCTACAAATGTATTCAGATTGGCTGCCTAGTTTTCCATTGGTACCATTGGTACCAATCGCCAAGTAGTTTCTGCGCGGCCCTCAAGTGTTAATATATGCACTTTACAAATGGTGTACCGATCGGCTGCCCCTTTTTCCATTGGTACCATTGGTAACAATGGTACCGATCGACAAATAGTTTGAGCGCGGTTCTCAGTTTAAAAATGGTATACCAATCGACTGACTACTTTTCCATTTGAATCGATTTGTACCAGTGGCACCATTCGACAAATCGCTTTCGCACAGCTCGCAAGAGTTAATGAGATGCAGTTTGCAAATGGTTTACCAATCCACTGAGGAGCTTTCCATCCGTACCAATGGCACGAATCGTAAGGCTTCTTTGACGAATGGTGATCATTTACCAATGGTATCATTAGTGAGGGTGTTTTGACGATTGATACCTGTTTGTTCATATTGGACATGCATGAGAGATAATGGCCATGGAAACAATATTTGGGGTTCAGGAAATGTTGTTTACAGCTAAAAGCAGGAGACGAATAGCATTTAAGGTTAACAACTATTCACCTGAATTGCCTTAGAACTTCATAACACGTCTCTTCGTTCAATTTACTTGACAGTTGTCAAGTTCACAAACCAAGTTCACAAGTCTCTTGCCTCAACGGAAAGTGAGCAATATTTCTTACACCATCCCTAAAAAAACCAACTCCAAGGAGAGCTTGTCGACGTCAGCATTGAACCAGGGGTCAAAAAAGCCACTGGAGGGTACCCCAAGAACTTCAAAACCAGAACGGCGAACGTCTATGAGGCCGCTAGTAGGACAGCAGTCCATCCGCAGTCTCCATCATAAGAGTGTTTTGCCAAAAGTGGAGAGTCATGCAGACAGACGAAAACCGTCCTACGTAAGTATGACTGTTTTAATTTGTTTATAATAAGGAAAATCAAAAACGTTTTACAGCATCGCTGGTAGCGCTGAGAAAAAGGTCTACCAAAAATGCGTTTTTTCTATTTTAGGTTTCTCAATTCAAACCACATTACCATTACCACTACCACTAACAACAACAATAGCATTATTTGCATGACCATCGTGATTACAGTATTGCAAAAGCTTATTTATTTCAAACAACAACGAAGTGAAAAATAACGAGTACAATTAAACTGAAGTAGTATAGAGATCTCAGGCTTCACTATTATAATAAAGATAAAGAAAGAATGGGGGAAATCATTCGGAAACCGTAAAGTGCATGTATTGCTTTTTCTTTCAAGTGATCAAGTGCTAAGGTGAAGTTACCTGTTGACGATATTCGAGTTCCTAAATATGCATAGTTCTGAACAATCTCGATATTATCAGCATCTATGATAAAGGTACAATTATTAAACTCTCTGGCACGTTTTTGGAAGATCATAATCTTAGTCTTTTTGATATTGCCTTTACCATTACCATTACCATAACCAGCACTACAACCAGCACCACTACCGCTGCCCCTTGTTATTTAATCCCTATATAAACAATCTGCCGTATTTGTATGAAAACACACTGTCTGACCCATTTGTCCTACCAAATGGAACAAAAATAAATTAACTTTTGTACGCTGATGATTTGATAATTTTGTCAAGATCCAAAACAGGATTACAAAACTGTCTAAATACGTCGTCTTCTTACTGCAAATCCTGGATGCTGAAAATCAATCCTAAGAAAACGAAGATGATGATTTTTCAAAAACGCCTGCGAAAATCTGTTGACATTAACTTCAAAATAGACACAGAATCAATTGAAGTTGTTCTGGAATACACCTATCTAGGTACACGTTGAACTCCAACTGAAAACTTTACTCTTGCGCCAAATCACTTAAAAGAAAAAGCCATGCACGCCTTCTCCAACATATGAAAACATACACTCCTCAGTAGACTTAACCCCAACACCGCATCTCAGATCTTCGACCCATTGATATCTCCTATTTTAAGCTACAACAGTGAAGTATGGGACATGCACACTAAGCAGGATTTCAAAACATGGGATAGTTTCCCGATAGAAAAAATACGTTTAAAGTTTTGCAAACCCTACTTAGAGGTAAACAATAAAGCCTCTAACGTAGCTTGTAGGGCTGAGCTTGGACGATACCCACTACTTATTTTCACTAACCCGAAAATTGTGAAATATTTTGTTTATCTAAACAACAAACACAATGACTTTATCGTCAAACAATCTGTTTTGATATCAAAGAATTTGCATTCTATTGACAATTCCGGGTTTACTCCAACTTTGTGAACATGTTAGAAAAATACCATTCATTTGATCTAGATCTTGAAACTTGAGACAATGATGCAGTAAGGCAAATTGAAACTGGTATGAAAAAGAATTATTTATTTTACTGGCGACACAGCAAGCAAAACTCAAGAAAGTTACACTTCCATTAAGTTTTCAAGAATGAGTATTCTCCATCTGATTATTTAACCCCTTTCAGACATTTTCTTGAAATATGACATCTAGTTAAAATGGTACTATGATCAAATGTTTACCCCTTGAGTTTTTAGGTGCATCACATAGAATTCCATGAAAGAATAAAAACTCCATTTACCGTTTG